GACAGAGAAAGAGAGAGAGAGAGAGAGAGAGAGTGCCAAAGAGTGCAGGGGAGCGGCAGAGACAGAATCCCAAGCAGGCCCTATGCTGTCAATCCAGAGCCCGATGTGTGGGATCCCACAACTGGGAGATCATGACCTGAGCCGAAATCAAGAGTCAGAAGCTTAACCGACTGAGCCACCCAGGTGCCTCCTAGAAATAAAATCTTCACCAAAAAAATGGTTAAGGTGGTAAATTTTATGTCATGTGTGCTTTACCATGATTTCAAAAATTTTGTTTCATTTAGAAAATGAAAGTAGAAGGAAATGGGGTACGAGGTTAAGAAAAATGTTCTGTCTCCCCATGAACAGGGTGGCCGCATTTATTCCAAGGATGTGGCCCTGAATGTCTTCCATAATTCCAAAGTTTGGATAATTCAAAAGTAGCTATTTCCATAGGCTTAACCTTCATTGCAATTTCCTTGTAATAATATATTGTTCTTATTGGATGAAGGAAGTGGACTTTATTCCTGTAATTTGATATCACAAGGTCTCATAATCAAATGATTTTACTTGACATGTCTTGGGGTGGGGTACAGTGGGGTACTGTACAGGTGGGGCCTGCACAGGGGGCTAAGGTCAGAGAGAGAGAGGGAGAAAGGGAGAGGGAGAGAGAGAGGGAGGCCTGACAGATTCCAGCTATGCCAGAGTGGGCCCCAGCCTGGCCGCCAGCCCCATTCAGGAGGCCCCCCAACCCTGACCTTCCCCCACCTCTGCCATCTTCAGCAGGAAGGCATCCACAACGTCGCACGCGGGCCCGGAGGTGTCCAGGCTCCCCTTGTGTCGCTGCACCTGCTGGACGGCAAAGGTGGCCAGGATGCTCAAGTGACCAAGGAGTTGTGTGTGGGGCCCCGGCAGGTGCTGCAGGAGCTGGGAGAACATCTCGTAGGCCTGCGAGGGGCGGGGGAGAAGGATAGCTATTTCCATGGGGCCTGGCCCTGCACCAGCATGGAGGGGTGCACTGGGGGTTACCTGGGAAAGGTAGGCAGGAACCTTTGGGGAAGAAGAGGGGTCCCACCCGCGTACCTGGCCCCATGGGGAACTGATCCCCAGCACGGCGCCACCAGCTGCCCGGACCACGGTCTGGAACTCCTCATCCTCATAGGGGAAGCGGAGGCCGAAGGTAAGGGAGCAGATGATGTTGGAGGTGGCCTGGGCCAGCAGCAGGGAGGGGTCAAATGGCTGTCCTGAGGAGGAGGGGGCAGGGAGGAGGGCTGTGACGGACAGGGGGCCGGACTCGACCGGAAGGAGACAGGCATAGAGAGAGACAGACAGGGAGATGAAAGACAGAGGGAGAAACAGAAGGGGAAAGAGACAGACAGAGAGACAGGAAGAGACAGGGAAAGAGAGACCGGGAAAGACTGAGTGAGAAAGATGGGTAGGGAGAGAGACAGAGAAAGATAGACTTATAGGAGAGAGAAACAGAAAAATCGAGAAAGAAAAGAAGCACTAAGAGTGATGTGGCAGCACCAGGGGCACTGAGACCCCTGGGGAGACATGAGGACAGAGACAGAAGGTGGAGGAGGCGCTCCAGGAGGCGAACAGAGCCCTCAGCCCAGCGCCAGAGGGAAGGTCCTCCCCACCCTCGGGCACACCACAGGGCACCCCAGGCTCACCCCACCCTGCTGACCTTCTGTCCCCTGGAATGCCTCCACCAGACACCGGGCCTCCGCCTGGATCAGCTCCTCGCCTTCTCGCTTCCCCATGCCCAGGTCCCGCAGCGCGAGTGTGGTGAACCTCTTCAGCTGCCTCCATCGCTCCCCATTGGAGAAGAAAACCCCTGCACAGAAGGCTGGACTCAAGGAGGGACTGGCCCCCTCCCCCCCAACCCCCAGGACTGCTCCCTTGCTCCCAGTGACGTGCCCAAGGGGGACTCCGAAGGTCCTGTCCCGAGTTCGTTATCAGCCTAGCCCAGGGGACTGGCAGGGGACTCCGTAAGTACTCAGTAAATGCCTAACCTTGGGTCAGAGGGTGACATTCTCCTGAGAAGCCGGTCACACATGTTCTGTGATGAACCAGGATGAGTGGGGACTTCTTCCTTGCATTTATCTTTTTATTCCTCTTTTCCCGTCCCCCCTCCCCTGGAGTCCTTTTATCTCTCCTTCCTCTTCCTCCTTCCTTCCCAACATTTACAGAGTACCATGGGGTCCCCTGCTCCACATCATTTGGAAGCTGGAAACTGAAGCGGGAGGGAGGAGCAAGGAACTGACTTTTCCTCCTTCAGCTAAGGGTCTGCATTGGACAAAAACCTTGCCTTCTCTGAATTCAGCATCTCACCTGTGCAGTGCTGGCCCCTAGTGGCCTCCTGGGTGTCCCAAACTGGCCTCCGCACCCTCTCCTCCTTCTCATTTCAGCCCACCATTCCCTGGCCCCGGCCCCGGCCCCGGCCCCGGTCCAGAGCCCTGGAAACCTCTCCCAGCTCACTCCCTTTCCTCCCACGGCCTCACCCAGCCTCCCAGCAGAGTCTCCCCCTGCCTTTTCACACAGGCAACTTAGGATCTTTCTAGCTCTGACCATACTCCATCCCTACTTCCATCTACAGCCCCCAGAAAAACCCAAAACCAAGCACTCTGGTGTGACTCAGGCCCGGCATGACCCACTTCTCCAGCTTTCTTACTCATCCTGCTGCAATTGGCTTTCATTTCCCTCAGTGGTAGTCAGATCTCTAGGCTTTGCCCCCCTGCTCCCCCCCCCCCCCCCCACACCACCTGGATCACTCACTCTCCATTCTCGCTGAACTAATTCCATTCCTCCTTCAGGTCTCATTGCAATTGTCCCCTACTCTGAGAAGCCTTCCTTGATTCCTCCTGGTCTCCCTCCCTTCCCCCTTCCAGTATAGTTCCCTTGTGTCCTGCTGTCAGAGCTGAAGGCAGGTTGCAGAATTCCATTCTCTCCCTCCAGTCTCATGACAAGCCCACCTCTCCTACAGTAAGACAGGATGCCACATCTGTCTTGGACATCTCTGTGTCCCCAGTACCCACTATAGGGCCAGGCATGATAGAGATTTGTCAATTTAATGAATGAATGGATGCTTCTTCTCTCACCTCCATGCTTTCCTACGTGCTAGTCTCTGCTTGGAATGCCCTTCCCACTCATCCTAGGAGTCTGAGCTCAGACAACCCGTCTTTCAAGACTCCCTGGACATCTCCCACCAAACAGGCTGGGTCAGGTGCCTCTTCAGGTTCCAGAAGTCCCAGGGCTTCCTCTATCCTGGCCCTGGCTTCTCTGCCTTCCCCATCCTAGGCCTGACCTCTCTGGCCTGTCACTGCCTGGGTCTTTCTCCCCAGTGGCTAACAAGCTCTAGGTCACTGCTGTGTCCCGATAGTGCCCAACACCAGGCTCCTACTTCCAGGCTTAGCAGAGAATAATTTTTATAACATTAAGTGTTCCCACCCATTCCCAGTGCCTAGAAAGCTCTCCTGGTCTCTCCCAGCCCTGGGGGCTTGACCTGGAGCAGTGATGACATCGCTATAACCTGGCCCAGGGCTCATTCAATCCTCAGCAGGACCTCAGCAAGTGCTATTATCACCCCATGTTATGGATGAGGAAACACAGGCTCAGGGACACTAAGTCACGCACAAAAAATCATATCAGTTAAGTGGTAGCAGGCTCTAAGGGAAGGAGCCAGGGGTCTCCAGCCCTGCTCATGACTCACCATGGCCTTCGAAAGTCCCGTCCAGCGTTGCCAGCATCCCCCGCCCACTGAACTCCTCAGCCTGACCTCCCAGGGCCTCCTGGACAGCTTCGTGCCCAACCAGGACCACCACGCGCCGCCAGGGACCCAGGTACACGGTGAACACTGGTCCATACTTCTTACTTAGCTGGGGGTAGGGAGGGAGAAGGGGCAGGTGCTGAGGGACAGGCTATGGCCTCTCTCAGTTTAGATGTCCCCATCACAGCCCCATCACTGGATGAAGTACCTAGGAGGAAGCCCCTCCCCTCCAGACGGAAATAGCCCCCTTGGGAGACTCAGTTCTCTTTCTGCATCAGGCTCTCAGGCCCCCTCCCCATAGAGTCCTCAACTCCTTATTTCCTAGAGACCCCGGTTCAGACCCGGGGACAACCCAGAACCACCCCTACCTCCCAACCCAGACATATGACAGCAAAAATGGGCAGCTGAGACTCTGACCTCTCCTGATTGCTCAGTTCTTCCCCTACCCCCAAACTAGCCACCCTTTTCCATCACTGCTAAACCCTCAGATTTTGGAGCAGACACTGCTGGGCACCTGCCAAATCTTTCCCCAAGACCCCCCTCCCCCTCCCCATGTTCTGGAGTCCCCCAGACTCCTTTTGAATGGGGAACCTCTGGCCTCTTCCTCTCTCCTGCAAAGGGTTGAAACTGTCTCAGCCTTCTTTCTTGCCCTCTTTCCCTGCTGTTCTGGAGACTTCCAGGTCCCTCCTAGCTGAGTCCCATGCAAAAAGCACTCCCACGCCCCTATTCTCTGCAGACAAATACCTGGAACTCTCTAGCCAAACCTCCCCTTCCCGCCAGCGACGCTCCCCTTTTTTTTCTGCCCCTCCCCAGCTACCTCTCCCCCTGGGACAGGCTTCCCTTCATCAGCTTCTCTGCTGCTAGGGGGCTCTCTCCCAGTCTCTGGCTTTAATCCCCTGCTTCTAGCACCTTCCCAGGATTCTGTGGACCCCTCTGCCACTGGATCCTGCTCCCCTGCTCTCATCCTCTCTAGGATTCTGCTCCTCCTAGCCCTGGCCCCGCACCCCAGGGTCCTCTCACCTCAGCGCCCCCTTCCACCCTTCTCAGCTCCGGAGCCCTGCCCCACCCCAGAACGCCCATAACCCCTTCGCCCTTGCACCCTTCGCCTGCCTCCTCTAGGATACCCAAGGGCCTGTCTGTTCTGGCACTCCGCTTTCTCTCTCTCCTGGGGCCCCCTCCCTCTCTTGGCCCCGGACCCCCGCCCCAACCAGGGCGTCCCCGCCGCCCCTCACCCGCAAGAGCCCCAAGTACAGCGCCCCGGGCCGGAGCTGCAGGAGGTTCCCCAGCAGCGGCAGCGGCATGGGCCCCGGGGGCAGGTGGCCCGGGGTCCGGGGCAGGGCCAGCGTCAGCACCAAGAGCAGCAGCAGCACCAGCAGCAGCGTCCCGGTGCTGGCCGCCTCCATCTCGGCGGGTTGGCTCCTTCTCCTGGCTCCCAGACACTCCACGCGGCTGGGCCAGCTAGGGGCGGGAGCCGGGCGGCTCCTCGCGGTTGAAATCCGGCGGCGAGGGGCGGGGCAGCCAGCCCCTCCCCCTACCTACAGTCAGGATTCTCTCCCCGCCGCCGGATTTCTTTCTTCGAGACCCCCTGCGGCCGCCGGGTGTAGGGACACGCTCTCGAACGGGTATCTACCAGGTCACCTAGGTTCGGGGGGCGGAGACAGCGCCTGGGGCCCCAGGTAGGGCGTGGGCACACTGGAGGAGCCCGGGAGCCAGAGACTTTGGCTGTCTCCAGGAGGCCACACCCCGTGCCTGAAGAGGTGACCCGCGGCCGCCCTCCTCAGCTTCCACCTCCCTCCTCCAGGCTGTCGGGGTGTGCGTTCGCTTGTGCGTGCGCGCGTCTTTGAGCCGATTTCCTCCAACATCTTTCTTACATTTTCACGGTGAACCAGGAGGAGGACTTGACCTTTAACAATAAAACATCTGAGGTCCAGGGAGATAAATCGGCTGACCCCAGGCCACACAGCTAACAAGCGGCAGAGCTGGGGTTTGACTTCCCGGCCATTCAGAAGGATTGACTGACTCCATCATTCATTCACTTAGTATCGTATAATGGTTAGGAACATGCTATCTGAAGCCAGAGTGCTTGAGTTCACAGCCTAGCTTCTCTGTGCCTCTGTTAACTCTTGAAAAATGGGGATCGTTTTAAGGATTAATAGGTTCATGTGTAAACAACTTCAAAGAGGTCCAGGTGCGTGTGTAACAAGTACCAAATAAACGTTAGCTAATATTCTTTCAACTAATTGCTATCGAGGTCTAACTATAAACAAGACTGTTCTAGACCCAGAGATGCAGCTATAAGTAAGAGAGAAGGGTCCTGCCCTCCCTGAGCTTATATTGACATGCAAGTGAAGTCTTAAATTAAGATAATCTCCAGTTGTTCAAGGGTTTGCCTCCGGAATGAGCTCCTTGAGGAAGACCGTTCCAAAGTCAAGTCCATGCTGTTTGGTTCAAAGCTGTATCCCCTGTGTCTAGAGCAGTGCCTGGAGCACGGGAGGTGCTCCATAAATATTTGTTGCATCAAAGATTGCATGTGGGAGATGAGATCAGCAGGGAGGTATGCAGGGTCCTAGAAAACTTATCTGCATAGTTTGTCCTGCAAAAGGAAGCAGGTGAAGGGTTTCCGGCATAAGCAGCACTAGTTTGCTTTGCATTTTCATTAAACATTTTATTATGAAAACTTTCAAACCTACAGTAGACACCTGCATATTCACCACCTAGATTCCACCAAAAACATTTTACGGATGGGGTTTTGGAGTGATGGGGGTCCAGAGCTGATGGCCAAGAAAGAATTTTTGAGACCTCTTTGGTGCAAAAAAGATGATTTTATGAAAGCACCGGGACAGGACCCGTGGGCAGAAAGAGCTGCATTGGGGTTGTGCAGAGTGGCTGGTTACATACTATGGGGCTGAGGAGAGAAAGTCAAGAGGAAGTTTCTTAAAGGGATTTCCATGTGCTAAAGAGGACTCACAGGTTCCTGGAGGCCTAGCTATTGTCAAACTAAGGTTGCTTTTCTGTCTAGCAAAGCATTAAGACAGTAGGGAGTTCCTGGAGATTAGGCTATTGATAAGATTGCCTTTTTCTTATAATTAGGAAGATACTTATAAACCGTTGGATACTCTGGTTCTGTGATCTCTATCTATTCCACCATTTATTTTC